CCCCCAAAACCCCAAAACCCCAAAACCCCTCTATTCCTATTTCATCAAACTTTATACTAAGAGTTGGATGGAGTAGCAAAAGTATGCAATGACCTGTGCCTAGTGTGTCTTCTTTGAGTAAGCAAGCCTACAAGTGAGTTTGAATGGTTTCTATCCCTATTCTTCATCCAGAGCAACTCGCTGAGGACCTTCTTAGCCTTGGCTTTGTCGTGTCTGCTTTTTGCAAGTCTGTACTCCCCCATTTTCTCTTTTTCCAAGACTTTCATCTTGAGGTCCATTTGCTTTTGTTTTTGGATCTTGAGGTTTCTCTGAAGCCTACAGAATTCAACACAAGCTAATTACCTCTGCGTGCGAAGAGCATCCCTGCGCTGCTTCTCATCAACCAGATTGGAAGAGTTCCTATAAATAGTCGCCTTTTTCTGCTTCTCTAGAGAAATGAGGCTGACACATACTGTTGATCATCTGGCTAAGATTTTTGAGCCTCCTCATCTGAGCCATTTTGTTATTAAAGATCCGCTCTTGGTTCATTTTTAACTTCTCTTTCTTGTGATCACGAATCTGCTGAAGATTTCTGACCTTTTCCTCTTCGAAATGTTTGAGCTGTTCTTGTCTATTTGAGCTGTGAATCCAGCACTTTCTTAAGCCTTTCATTCTCTATGGATTAATAAAGAGAGATACCCATCTTTTGCCTAAACTGGGAGGGATCCAAGCAGAGCAGTTTACTGTAGTCGTTGCTAACCCTGCTTACATTCTAGAAGGGACCTTACATATTGACTTTACTTGCTTGAGAACTGAATAGCAGGTTAGTAGTCTGGAGGGGAATTTGTAGCGTAAAAACTTACCTAAGGATTGTAAATGCCTCTTATTCGCATTTTCAAGTTTATCCTTGATACCTTTCAATCTTTCGTCAATGTTATAATCAGGCTTTTTCTGAGGCAGCATGCATGACTCATGCTTCATGTTTATGGGGGAGGAATAACTATTATTATTAACCAACTATTACTTGTGGTTCCTGGTGGTTTTCAAGCCATTCCGAGTGTCACTTACCTTCGAAAAAAGGCTAATATTACTTAATTCACTTGTCTTTTTTGGGCTAGGAATGTTTCTGGCTGAGCTACGATGTCTTTTCGGTGTTACTCTGTCTAAAAACGACATGTAAGTTTGCAAAATTCTCTCTTTAAAACAAGCCAATTTCTCATAAAATACCAAAAATGAGCCAAAACTCCAAGAAATCTCACATGACATTCTGAACAAGAAGATAAATTTCAATAAATTTTATTCCAAAAGGGGTTTTGGGGTTTTGGGGTTTTGGGGTTTTGGGG